CGTTTATTGAGTAATTACAATGGGTCGCAGGCTGCAATCAATATGGACCGGTTTGCTCCATTCAGGAGGTGATGGGAGAGATGAAAGTTTTAAATAGCTTATGTTGTTATCCACAGGTTTGAAATCAACATCAATTGGCCTTTGAAGCTTATCACACACCAGTGAGGTAAGCGCCCAGTCATTAAATGATCCTTTTTGACGTCCATGAATGACGAAAGCCTCAAACACTCCTGGGGACTTGGCTAAGTTTTCTCCACTGGCTTGTTAGGGAACTGGTTTCATAAGCTTGTTAGTACCAACTTGCTCTGCTGCCTGATGGTTGACAGCCGATCGCGGACTCTAGAACCGGCACCTTTCCAGACCTATTTCCACCCTCAACTGCCCAACCTTTGTCCTTCCAACACCAGGGCCGATTCAGTGTTTTCTTTTTTCAGTGAGACTTGGCCTTACAGGTTCTAAATCACAAAAAGGCGGCAGAGGAACAATAAGAAATTCTGTGTTAGTAACAGTCATAATAAACGGCAATACACCTCTGCAACGCAAAGACGAGCAGTCAGGAAAGCCACAAACATCCTCAGGCCAACCGATCGGGTAATCATCCCCAACTGCCTGCCCGGCCCCAGTCACGTGACGGGGGAGCGGCGCGCGCCGCCAGTGGCGCGGATTGGCGGGCGGCGGGAGCGTGGGGTTTGATGGGAAGGAGTTGGCCAGGCCCATCGCTCTGTCAGTGGCTGCTGCTGCCTGCACCCGAGGCAGGCTGTGTTGTGGTGGCCGAGGCTGGCCGGGTGGACGCCAACGCCAGGCGTTGCCCTCTTCTCGCAGGTAGAGTACTCAGGATGAGGGCAGTTGGGTGGGCTTGCCGAAGGGGAGTTACGTTGAGCTTTCCCTCTGGGAAATATCTTCCCGATTACCCCGCACGTCTCTTCGGGTGCCCCCGCCCAACATCGAATGGCCTAAGAGCTATGCCGTGGCGCCTAGTCAAACTCCCGCGGTGGCCCGCGCTCGTCCAGCCACGCGGCCTCACCCTCCTGATTTCCCACCACAATGGCAGGGTGGCCCCGGAGCTCGGGAGACGCCCTTTAGCCCTTGGGTGGTGGTTTCCCCAGCCCTGTTCACGGAGATTCCTGGGAGTGACTAGGTTGGGCGAGCATCGGTTTTTGTGCCCACCGGTATCCAGGTCGAGAGGTCCCAAAGTGGCAGATTCTATGATAAATAATCGCAGTGAGTGTTCTAATCACCTCCTTTTTTCTCTGAAGAGTGTGGAGGCACCACGAATTGGAAAGCTCTAGAGGGACCGAAAACTGTCAGTGTCATGCTGCTCGGCTTTGGTGTGTGGGCGTGGATTATGTGCTATTTAGAGAAGCCTTTCTCCAACTATTGTCCTTATCTGAGGGACAGTGGGCAGTGTGAGGGGTAGAGGGAAGGGCGAGGGTGTGTAGGTGTCACAGGCGCGACAACAGATCAGCAAATTAAACTGTCTATAGTTCTAATTCTTAAATACTGTGTATGGGACTTGAGAGGTTTGGGATTTGTGGACTCAGTTGTGCTGATATTGCCCTCACAGGAGCAAGACCTGTGACTCGTTGTTTGAGTGCTTGTGGTTTCTAGTGTCTACAGCTTCTCCTTTCTCTGTGGCCTGGGTGTTACTATTGACAACACTGATCCTATTCAACAGCAGTTTCAGGCCTATGTTCCCACTGGCAGGGAGTTCTAATCTCTTGTCCTCAGGAAGCCCTGTGTTGTTGTTGTTGTTGTTATGTGCCATCGAGTCGGCCCCGACCCACTGGCAGGGAGTTCTAATCTCTTGTCCTCAGCAAGCCCTGTGTTGTTGTTGTTGTTGTTATGTGCCATCGAGTCGGCCCCGACCCACTGGCAGGGAGTTCTAATCTCTTGTCCTCAGCAAGCCCTATAGTTCCTTTTTAAGAGGACCAAGTTGATTTTGAACACATTTTCGTAAACAAAAGTAGTGAATTTAAAAATAGAATTTTAAAGTTCCCTGTCATCTTTTGAGATCAGTCCAATAATACCATTAATAAACTTATGTAGTGTTGATATGGGGAGCTCTGGTAGCATAGTGCCTAAGGCACTTGACTGCTAACTAGATGGCTGGCAGTTCAAACCTACCAGCCACTCCTGGGAAGGAAGATGGGGCAATCTACTTCTGTAGTGATACTGCCTCGGAAACCCAAGGAGGGGTCGCTATGAGCCGGGTCCGACTTGAGGGCACATAGCAACAACAGTGTTGATATGTTATTAACTTGCAAGTGACTATAAGGAAAGGAAGAAGTTACTTTGCTGTTAAACAGGTTTGATTTCAAATGGAAATATCTTCATCCAAGTGTCATTTTTTGGGTGGTAATTAGAGTGAAATTGATTTAACATGAAGGTAAAAATTTAATCATAAAATAATAAAAATGCTTTTAGAGTATGTTTCTCTCTATTAATTTTATTTTTGGGCAGTAAACGTGGTTTGGGATAGTTCAGAATTGTGCCTTTTCAATGAGAACATTTGAAAGTTACAGTTCTACAGCAAATCACCTTTAATCTTAAAATGAATAATGCAATAAGTTATGAAGGTATTGTTGATGGTGATTGAATATTTTCTAGTTAATCATGGAACTTGAGAAATTAAACAAAAATAAACTTCCTTTGCTGTTTTTTCCAAAGGCCTACAATTTTTTTTTAATGGAAGACTCTTCAGAGTGTATTGCTTTATGTAAAAATCAGAGCAATGCAATTTCAGTTAAAATATTAAGTGTAATTTTACTTCTCACTTTTAAAATTATGAGACAGGTGCTTTCTTATAAGAAGTAGAAAGAAATGTGTTTCTGTATTACCTGTGTCTTTTGGTGATAGAAATAATGATATTATGTGTTGGATACTGCTAAATGGTATATAATTTCATTTAATCCATACAACAATAATGTAAGTATTTTCATCATTTTACAAATGAGGAACCTTGAGATTTAGAGAATTTAAGTAATCTGCCCTAGATCCCATAGCTCGTATATGGTTGAGACATATTTTGAATCCAAACCTATTTCACTCCAAAACCAGAGAGACAGTTTCTTTGGCTACTATTTTAATGTGAGCTGAATATGAACTGAATATTTATGAATAATAATTCCCAAGATTTAATATTCTTATACTCAAACCTGAGCATAAATAGCAGTTAATAGAAAACATTAAAATAATACAGTAGGGATTTTTAGATGTACCCAGCTCCTAAGGTCATGTCAAATTCCACCATGATGTCAGAGTGGAAGGAGGCTCTGTTACATGTTCATGGAAGGGTTCTTGATGACAAGCCACTTAAGAGTGAGCCATTACTTTACTCAAGGGCAAGCAAATACGTATATGCTTCAGAAAGAAATACTAAGAGTTATTTGGTTCTTGTGTATTTTATGTATGTTTGAGAGGCAGCAGAGATGGATTAGAAAAAGGCAATGATCACAGCAGTGAGAACAACTAGTATTGAGAAATTATTATTTTTCAACACTGTTGTAAATATATTTTAAATGTAAATACATTGTCATTTAAGCATTTCAACATTTAAGAGGGTCCTTAAGTATCCCTCATTTGCAGATGGGGAAATTGAATCACAGAGAGGCTAAGTAACTTATTTGCCCAAGATTTCATAGTAAGTGATGGGCCATAGGACTTGGAGTTAAGATAGTTGTGTGGAAATGAGAGAACCAGTAGGTGAAAATAGAAGTATGCAGTTAAAGCTATGGAGAAATATTTGATTTAAGCATTTAATTTTGTTATGCTTTCGTATCTGTTGAAAAGCATCACCTATTACATATGAATTACAACACACAATATGATAACCACAATATGATAGAAAAATTACTGAAATGATGAGTGTCGATGTTTCTCTGATTAGGAACCAGAAAACATGGTTGGTCATGTTATTTCTACCCCAATGTTGTTTTAGGGGACAAATTATAAAATACAGTCCCCTGCTTCAGGGGTCTTAGAGGCTAAGCCATAGTTTGTTTCATTAACAACAAAACAATTTTCCAAGCAAATAATTGATATCAAAATTGATATGAATTGTGATAGTATGTGTATATTTTATGTTATATTTATTTTAAAAATGAATGCAGTAAACAAAGTGCTTGTAGTGGAGAAAGCACAGGACTAGGAATCAGACTTAAAGTAGCAGTTCTGCCATGACATTTTCTTTTTCTTTTAAAATTTTTACTGTGATTTGGGTGACAATGTACAGAGCAAATTCATTTTCCATACAGCAGTTCGAACACATTTTGTTTCATGACAATGACTGCAATTCCCCACAGTGTAGCAGCTCTCTTCCTACTTCCTCCCTATAGTTACCTCTTCCCTGGTAACAGCTCTCTTCCTACTTCCTCCTTATAGTTACCTCTTTCCTGGGTCCTTCTTTCCTATGCATTCCTACCCCCTGAGTTATATCCCTGTGCAAATACTGCCCTTCTGTTCTCCTATAATTGTTTGCTCTAAGGAATGTATCTACTTGATGTAAATGTTTATCCTATGTGACTGCACTATGCTGGAAGCCATGGGAGTGTGAGTTCACTTCCCAACCTGAAGGGTAACTAGCGGCCATAGTCTTGGGGGTCTCACAAGGCACTATCAGACCAGTAAACCTGGTCTTCTTTTATGATTTTGAATTTTGTTCCACATTGTTCTCCCAGTCTATCCAGGATCTCCTGCATGGATCCCTTTCTGAGTGGCTCACAGTGGTAGCCAGGTACCATCTTGGTGATTATTTTTAACATCCAGGAATGCTGTAATATCTATTTAATGTTTTAGCTCAGCTAGAAATTATATTTTTATTATTAAAGTTCCTGGATTGTATATTTTAGAAACTTGAGTATTGACCTGATATTGAAGGATTATTAATATTTAGATTATAATTTAGATATGGTTTATAACACATTTAAATATATTTATAAGCTTCAGAATTACAGGCAATGCATTTATAATTTCAGAATTTTTGAGGCTAGATTATAGATATTTCTGTCCTTTAAAATCACTTTGGTAAGTGAAAGCATTTTATAGTTAATCTCTTTTTTAACTAAGGAAGTTCAAGATAGATGTGAGTTACGATAGTTCCAGTCTACAAATAGTGTTGCAGAGTGAATATACTTACTTGGTACTGGTATTATTTTGTGATTACAGTTACAGTTGTAAAAATTTAAGAAGTATAGTCTAAATAAAATTTTTAGGTGGAGATGAAGTAGTTTTAACATTGTGAAGTATATAAATATAACCTGATAAAAATGTCAGTTTAAAAGTATACTATTACCATTTCAAATAAAAAAATATGTAATTATTGACTGGTTAGTTGATTTAAAGGTGCCCTGGTGGAACAGTGATTAAAGGGCTTAGTTGACAAAAGGTCAGTGCAGTTCGAACCCACTAGCCGTGATGCAGGAGAAAGATGTAGTAGTCTGCTTCCGTAAAGATTTACAGCCTTAGAAACCTGGGGGGCAGTTCTGCTTTGCCATAGAGGGTCATTATTAGTTGGAATCGACTCCATAGCAACAGGTTTGTTTTTTGGTAATTATTTAAAATATAATATTGCTGAGTGTATTACAAAACATTTGATAGGAACGGCTAAAAGAGAAGGATATATAGCTAGCTAACATGAAATCAACTAGCTTGAGAGACTTAGATGTCTCTATGTGGTTGTGGAACAGTAATATTTAGTAATAAAATCAACAGTGCTAAAGATAGAAGGGCTTTGGGCCATGTTTCTTCTCAGCTACTGGCAAATCACTGAACTGATTTTTCACAATTTTTTTTTTTTTTAAATCTAAGATAGTAATAATAAAGACAAAGGTAAGGGTAGTTAATGGTGATCAGTGGTAGAATTCTCCTTTTCCATGAGGGAGATAGACCTGAAGTCCATTTCCAGCCAGTGCACCTCAAGGCCAGCCACCACACCTCTGTCACTGGAAGCTTGCCCTGTTGCTGTAGTGAGAAACATATTGCGGCCGAACTTCCAGACTAAGATATACAAAGACAGAAGAAAGGCCTGGTGATCTGTTTCCAAAAGTCAGACAATGAAACCCTATGGATCACAGTGGTCTGATCCTGTTGTGCATATGGAGTTGCCAGGAGTCAGGAGCTGGCTGAACAAAAGCTAACAGTAGTAGTAGTGTAAAAGTAGTAGTAGTATAAATACTAATTTATTGAAAAGGAAATTATAGCTCAGAAACATTAAGTGATTTGCTCAAGTTCATGGGTACCCTTTAACCCTTACTTTCTTATTCAAAATTGTTTTTTGATTTTCCACGATGACTTGTAAGGTGATGTTATTGCGAACAATGTGAAACCCCTAATTTCAAATAACTAGGTCACTTGGGAGATAGCTGATCTATATTTATATGATATCAATCTATCAATCTATCATCCAATCTATTGGATGATAGAAATGGTTTTATTTAAGTATTCACTAAAACTTTTCTCACAAGAATAATGAAAGAGATTTACTATAAAGAACAGAAAACTGCAAAGTTGTATGACTTCTAAAATGCCTTGTCATTTAAAAAGAATTCCAGTTTGCTTTTTACTTTCAAATATGTCCTGGCTTTGAAGAAAGGGTTTTTAAATGGTAAACTCCACCCCAATGATTGTCTGAATTCAAATTCTATATAAGTAGAATCAAAAGAAATTAATATTTTACAGTATTTTAAGGCAGGATTGCAACATCTAAATTTTATTATTGGTATGCTATGTGTTTAACTTAAAATCTAACATACTTTATTTCTAGCTGAGAATTCCTCTGGACGGTTAATGGTGTTTGTCATTGTGCCCTGTTTCTACAAATAAATGATGGGTGGATTATTTTCTCGATGGAGGGTAAGTTACTTTTCTTTATAGATAGTCCTTAAATCTAACATAAAAGTGTCCCATAAAGCGATTTGTAAAAGTCTCCTTTGTTGTGTAGACTTAAAGTAGTAGTTTGGTATTATCCCCAACTTCTTTTTTTTCTTTGATTGTTTTTTGAATTAGTTTTTTATTTGGACTTTATTTGTAATAGTTCCACTTGTTACATAGGTGTCTAATGTCTCTGTTTAACAGAATTATTTCACATATGAATTATTTTCCTTTCTATATGTATTCATTTGCAAATGGTTATTTTTCTTGTTTTCTTCTTATACTGTCTTTTATTTGAAAGGTGGTTGAAACTATTGTGTGTAATACATTTTTTTTTTTTTT